AAAGTTCACTAGTTGCCCGCCGTGAAAGAAAAGACGTTCTGAGAGAGAAATATCTCTAAATTATCATGTTCCTATTAGGTTGGAGGCCATCGCTCTTAGGTTGGAGGCCATCGCTATAAGGTTGGAGGCTCTAAATTACAAAATACACACACCTAGATTGTCCTTGAAGAGTTGGGTGAAGTAGGCATCGTGGGTGTTGCCCCTTGTTCGATGCCCTGTTTGACAAAGGCTCATTTGTTTGCTGTTTTCACATGTTTTCACTGGTCGAGCTAGAATTGTGTACCCAGACAGCCCGCTATGTATTCCGTGGTGATACTGGCTCAAAGCACTGAACCGGGACAGCAGCATGTCGAATCCAATGTTTCTGTTGCAGCTTTGAAGTGCCAAGGATGACGCGGGAAGGATCTTTACCAGTTTGTGCAGAAACATGTTCCTACAAGCTGCATGTTTTTTTGCTTGGCCTCATTCGCACTGCGACTCCCCCATATGTCCGGTGCATTCTAAGAAGCTGTGCACTGCCAAGGCATACGATGATATATGATGTAATGTCCACATTTGAGAGGAGTTTTGTTTCTTCCAGAAGCGGCGAATCAGGGTCAAGTGATGTCAACTGCTGCAGCTATTACTGAGACGATGCAGTTGCACTGTCTAAACTAAGGACAATGTATTTGGCCACGCCACCTGCGCCGCAGGAACGCTTGCCAAGGCCAGGCAGCGGTTTCAAAGTCCTTTGCAGCGATTGATTGAAGTGGTTCGATTCACGATCAGGGTTCATATCTCCAAAAGGTGTCTTGTGGTGTTGCTGAAGTTTATGCTGTTTCAAGCCAGTTGGTGAAGATCCTTACGAACCGTCAAATTTCAATGGACCAACACAGTGGCAGAACACTAACTCCAAACCGAAACTACCCAAGCATTGTATAGGAAGACAAGGAAGAAAGAAATGACATGGAAAAGAAGCAGACAATGGATGATAATAACATACAATATCAAACTCAAGCCCAACAGAGCTCCACCTGTGTCCCATCAGTCGTCTCTTGACACAGTGTCGCAGTAACACTGGGTGTTTGAATCGTGCCATCAGCGCTGAGGAAGTGTGCAGTTGTATGAAAGTGTGCTTTGTCGTTTCACAGCACGTTTGTAGGCCTCAAACCCCTGCAAATCAGAGAGTGTTTGGGCGCAGCCGCGGACTCGGACACTGACATGTCAAGCGACACAGTTGGATTCCAGCACAAACCTTGGAAGGCAAGGAAAATGAATGGACGTGAGCTGCTCAGGCAGAGAGCTTCCATGCATTGATGCATGTCTATTTTGACACAATGTATCCTGACTGAAGGTCACCCATTCGTTCAGGAGGAGCTCAATGATGTTTGGGATGGAATTCGAATTCGGAGTGTTTAATCAATCATTTAATCTCCAAAAGGCGTCGTGCTTTGAAGGTTTGCAATGCTGCCAAATGTTACTAGTAGCTTTTTGCTACCAGTAGTGATGCCCTTAGCTACTAGCAGCGATGCACTTGTTAGTAGCAATGCACTTGTTACTAGTAGCTTTTTGCTACTAGTAGTAATGCCAGGATATGGATCTCCTGCGAGCGAAGGCTCCTCACCGCTCTGGCAAGGTTTGGGTCCGATGAACTTGTGCGCTGAGTCATCGCAGAGCCCTTCGTGGTTCACATCAGATTGTGTGAACACTGAACAGGGCCGAGTGCTGAGAAGTACGAGAAGGCCCAAATTGGACGAGTATCAAGATTCCAAATCTATCTTTATCCAGATCTTTGGTGTGTGTATATAATATATATATATAATTATATCATTTGAGGCTTGGCTGAACCAATCTCCAAGTGCTGCAAGTACCACCGTACCTTTAGAGGCCTTGGACTGTTGTCCTTGGATGGCTTGGGTGGTTTCAGAATGGCCACTTCCAGGTCACTCGGCCTGAGAGCTTCTATCAATCAGGCCATGGCGGCCATGTTCTGAAAGTGGCTGTGGCATGCTGTGGTTTTCGGCAATTCTTCCCTGCCCATGAAGGTCCTTTGGCTGAGGGTCCGATGAGGCTTGCCCCCGAAGTGGCGCCACAGCAGCAAATTGGAGTGCTGTTGCACCGTGTGATGTATATGCTGCAATTAGGCTACGTATAAGCGACGCAAGATATGAGAAAAGCAATGGTTCAGTCAATTGCACAATCATGTAACCGGTGAGTACAACAGGATACTTCAATCAGACAAACATTCTTCCTTCTTTTTTGTTTTTATTGCTTGTGTCCAGAAGACAGCAGTGGAACAGCAGCAGATTAGATTGACAAGCCGGGCGGTCAAGGGTCACGCCGTGATCACACCTTTTTCATCCTTTGTCAAAAGGCTTCGTGGCGAAGCTGACAATCATGATGTGGGGTTCTAGGGAGAGACACCTGTACTCGTGTTCAACAGCTCAAGAAGCGCAACTTTTGTTTGGCCAGTGCATTCTTCATTGGATTTATACATAGATCCACAGAGAAATGTCGTTCTTGGTTCAGTTTCACACATGTCAGGATTCGCCAAGACGCACGCTTGATCCTCCAAGCTCACCATCGGGAGACTGGCAGGGCTTTTACAATCAATGGCTGCAGGATCAAGAAAGCTTTCAGTCTCTTGGAAGAAATGGAATGATGGGACCACGTTGGACCGACAAGATACGCGGACAAGACGAGATACATGGACATCAAGAATAACAGTTTGAGTATGAGCCGGTTCCCTTCATCGCGATTCATGTTCCAATCTTGTTCATTATGTCATATACTGTATATATATATATATCGGACGTTTGAAGTCTCAACTAAGCGCTTCATCCAAGGCATTGCACTGAATCCCAAGCAAAGCTCTTGAAGGCCACACAGTGGGCCACTGGCCTAGCTGCATCGGTCAGTGGGCCACAGGCTGCAAAGCACAGCGGTCGCCCAGGCTGCAAAGCACATCGGATCAGGCCATGAAGCCGTGGAGGCGCATCGCGCCGCATCAGCGTGACGGGAGTTGGAAAATAGGTTGATCAGATGACTAGAAAGATCAGCGACAACTACAGTACAAGTAAGGCTTGCAAAGTTGTAGGATGGCATGACTACCCGCTTTAATGCCAGATGATGCCAGTCAACCTAATTTGGAAAGGAGCAGAGCTTGGCAAAGGCAGATGCAAATGTGTTGCCACGCTGTGAGTTCACCCATCAGAAACACGAGAGTGGAGGACATGCATGTAGAGCAGGGAAGTCTTGTATTCTGTAGGGACTGAGTAGAAATTGATGCGAATTAAATGTTTAGCACACTACATCACAACGATTCACAACACCATACAACACCTAATGATAGAAGATTGATGAACATCTATCGTCATGTTTTATTATAGGCCATAGTTAAATATCATTGACTCGCAGGCTGCATCCTTTTCACATTATACACGGCCCTTCCATTTCGACATCAGGCAGCCAAGCAACACATTCAGCAACTGCGATCGCGCCAGCATCGCATGCGTGGGGTGCCTATTGACGCTTCACCACAAAAAGAGGTGACATGAAGACAAGCAAACGCTGAAACAACAAGATACTAATGCATGAGACACTTAGATGAACAAAGTGCTGTCAGGTTTTAATTCCAATCTTCGTTGGCACAAGGCAGCGCTGCACTCGGAACTGCGTTGTTGAAACAGGTTTTTGCTTGAGGCGAATCTGGCCTTTGAGTTGCAGCAACTGGTGCACACCTTAATGAGCAATCAAAGAAGCGCTTGGCTTCCAAGTCCAAGATTTATTGGATTAGTGAGGCCCACATGAAGACTCACAAAGAGGAGTCCTTTCAGGCTGGAGCAAGCGGACAAAGGTCAACAGGTTGTTGTAGCTGGAGGATTGGACCCAGTTTTGTTCACGCTGCATAGTGGTCTTCGCACCTGAGGCCGCAGCGCATGCGGCAGAGGTTGACCTGGGCCCTGCTCATGAGGCCGGAAGATGAAGATGATGTTACTAGTAGTAAGGCACTTGTTTCTACTAGCTTCTTGTTACTACTAGTAAGGCACCTGTTACTACTAGCGTGGCACTTGGCGCTAAAACTTCGACAGAGTACTTTCTCACTATGCATCACTAAGCTGACAAGCCAGCTCTGCCAGTCGTGCTTTCCAAGGTTGTTGCAAATGCACGTCGCATGGCTCAAACGTCCAGCTCTTGGATGGCAGAGCTTTCAGCTTAGAGAATCAGAGTTCTGCATGAGGCTCAAATTGCGGAAAGTTCACAAGGCTCGAAAAGACCGTGAGGCCTGTGCACACGTACGAACATCGAAGAGCTGAATGACAGTAAACTACTCTGGAAAGAGGACAAATGCTGGTGTTCATCTCCCTGGATGATTGTCACCTGGATATTCACAACGGCAGAGACTTGCTGATTGAAAAGGCAAAGCAAGATCTTGAAGTACGTGCAGCAGCAGAAAGCAAGGACTTGCACGCACTGGCTGGAAGCATTCAGGTCGATTCGGCTGGTATGTTGGATGTGGATGAGAGTCTCCACTACATTCCACTAGCCTGGAGCCATTCCAGTCATTATAGAGAGATGAAGTGCCTTCAAACTTTGCGATGATTACAGTTGCATAGGAGCGTTTCAATTCATATGCTGGGACACTCCAAACCCTGGCAAACGATAGGGGACTCGCCAAAAAGGATACCCTGTAACAAGGTCCAAAAAGTATTGGAAAACGATACCGGACTCACAAATTTGAACATGCAACGGCCGCACATGACTAGTTTTGACATGTTTTGACCGTACCTGACGTAATATGGCTGTTTGAAACCACCGTGACCCGGCAAAATAGATGAACACTTCATGACACTTCTGTATATTCCAAGATTTATACATATGATTATAGATTAGATGTATAATGATGTATATATTACATAACTATTCACTGTTCAGACTGCTGTTTGTGGATAGGTGGCCGCGCAAAAACTTGGCGCAGCGCACGAAATCGTCGAGCGAGGCCGCCAGGTCCGGCAGCTCCCGGCAGCTTTCCAGAGTGCATGATTTGAATGATTGAAAGAACAAGAATTACTTAGAAACAAGAAGCTACTAGGAACAAGTGCCGCGCTACTAGGAACAAGTGGCTTACTACTAGGAGCAAGAAGCTATTAGAAACAATTACTTACTTGTTTATTTTTATTTTTTTGAATCTTTGTTATTTATTCGTTTTGTGCAGGGGGGGTAGGCCGCTGAGGTAGTAGTTAGGGAGTCGCTAGTAGCTGACTTAAACTACTAGGAACTGGACGCAGGATAGCTCGCGCTTCTTCAAGATTTGGTTCCTAGATTTTAAGGGAAACTTAACATTATATATATATAGTAGCTTCTAGCTACAGTTACTAGTAGTAATGCCCTTGTTACTAGTAGCGATGCCCTTGTTACATGTGTGCACTGCTGGTGCAGCTTTCTTGCCACAGCAGTGCTTGGTAGGAATTCTTGCAGCAGCGGCGCGAATTGCAGCGTCAGCAGTGCACTCCGCAGAGTGTTGTCAGAGGAAGGAGTCAACACCACTGAGAAGTCATCAACATGAGGTGGGAAGAGTGCGTCCATCTTCAGCAAGCTCTGATGGTTCCAGCCCTAAAAGTGCGCTTTCGCTCGACCCAATTGTTGAAGATCTATTAGGTTGAAGCCTGCGAGTCACAAGATCCAGAGTGATCCCACCTGTGTTGGACATGATTCCAGCTTGCTTCACTTCCAGAGTGCCAAAATGGCAGGCAAATCGAAGCTCGGATTTTGGCTGCTTCTCATAGTCCTTTGGGACAAGGCGACCCTTTAAATCGAATCGATGATTTGTTTCCTGAAAGTGCTTCAGGTGCATGAGAGTGCAGAAGCACCAGTTGGTGCATCGTTTTGACATCCTTTTAAAGCAAAACATAAACTATTAGGAGTCTATGGAACATCTATCATACAGGTGTTTTATTCACACGTTCACACGAGTCGTACTGGCTGTCTTGATTTCAAGGCCATGAGATCGTACTGTACGGTAAACGCTATTTGCTTTGGTTGCGACGTGCCCTGACCTTAGCTCCCTCAGCTCCATCGTCATTGGACTTAATCCTAGTGACTTAGTGAGTAAGTCGTCTGTAGGTATCACTTGAGGGCACCCACGCATTCCTTATGCCCGATGTGTGTTCGTTTCAGGTCTTACATATTAAGGTTTCAATTCTTGATTCATTTCAGGTCTACCGAGTCCATCTAATGATGTCCACATTGGAGTGAATCCACAGGGTTTTCATGAGAAAGCTCTCAGACCATACGAGTATAATTTTTCATATAGTTCTAAGATCTAGAGTTCAAAATAGTTCAACGTTTTTTTGTAATTATTGAATTCCTTAAGGCTATGCAGCGCCGCGCGCTGGAAGCTCGCCAATCTCGCTGCGTCGCTGTCTCACCAGTTGGATATGGATACAGAAGCCAACCAAGACCCTTTTGTGGTGATTGCTTCAAGTTGTTCAACTTCTTCAAAAAAGTTCACGCAGTTGATCTTTTTGACTTTGGGATTGTTAGCCTGCAGATGCAGCAGGTGAAGGTCCTTCTCCAAGCCTCGCAAGAAGCTACCGAAGCAGAGGTCAGAAGTATGGAAATACAAGGTGTGGCCCACGATGTCCCAGTACCTCGTTGGGAGAAATTGAATGACCAAATATTGTTGTAACCGTTGTAACATTGTAGCAAATTGAGTTCATGGATCTTGAGGCGGGGATTTCAGGGTGTGAGGTGCTTGGCTGCCACTTGCATGTCACTAGTTTCACGGCGAGTTGCTTTGCAACCACATATCCATGCCTGTTTGTAGTCAAGAAAAAAGGGCTACAAGGTTTCTCAAGGTGTTGAATACAAAAAGCAGCAACTTGCAGTCAGGGAGCCAATGATCCAGAGCTGGAGCTTGACGGCTCGTCTTTTGTACTCGTAGGTCCTTCTGGTGAAGTGGGGGTAAGATGCTTTTAGAGTTGCCGTGGAGCATGAGTACTGTCAGAGGCAAGCTGGTTCCCAAGACTTTCCAAGGTGCGTTGACTAGATGCTTAAGTAGCATAAGTAGTACTTCCTGGCCAAGCCATTATCCTCGTTACCCACGTTTAGCCCACTTCACCTCACCACAGCCAAGCTGTTTGGAGATGCTTGCTGGTGCAAAAGCTGGCAGACTGGAGCTTCTGGAGGCTGAGTTGTTCATGGATGGCTTCATTTGACACTCCCCAGCTGAAATCGGCTCCGCTGCCATTTCCAACTCAAGACAACAGGGGGGGAAGCCTCTGGCGCAAGCAGTTGATGCCCTCCATCTCTGGCAGTGGTGGCAGTGAGGCATCAGGCTCGAATGGACTTGGATGCCTCGACCTCATCGCAACCCCTTGGCAGTCGAAGGAGCCCATTGCTGAGTTCTGATGCTACTGGGTCTGCGTCTGTAGCTGCCATGAGGAGAAGAAATGGCTCTTCAAGTGCCGAAGAGACGACTCAGCTGATGGTTAGACGACTCAGTGAGATCTCCACGTCGTCCATCAGTTTCGATGCCAGCAAATTGGCCATGTACAAGAATTTCTCTGTGAGATCATCCTATTCGCGGGACTTAGACGGCGAGGCAGTTGGACGTCCCTCCAGAAGATGTAGAACTGGTGGATATCCTGTCCCTTCTCGATCACCCGCAATGTCCATCTCAGAAATGGATCTTCTTGAGGAAAACGAAGCACTCACGGAGCATATTCAAAGAGAAAAAGAGAAGAGGGAGAACAAGACCGCGATAGCTTTCGAGCAAGTTCCATCGAGAAAAACAAAGACCACTGTGGTGTCCTTGTGAGGTTTGAGCGCCTTCCTCAACAGTTTGCAAGTTGAGACCCAGCTCAGAAGCAGTCGTTGTTTGGAATCTATACTTTCAGCCTCAAACTCTGAGCACAACGTGCTGTTGCAGGAAAGTGCATTCAATTCGCTTGTTTAGCCTCTGGTGGTAGAATGGAATTTGTAAAGCATATTCCAAACAAGACAATCGCATCACATATATATAAGCAATCGTAGCCCTCATCGTTCAACTGCACAATTGCCCAAAGGCAATGGCAGAGCACGATTCCCACTCTTCGGTTTTATGCGATCCCTCAAGAATTGGATCATTTTCTCTCGCACTCGCGGCCAAGCAACTAATCACTGTTCTGTGTGCAGGTGTTTCCTCGAACACCAACATACATATATAATATATATAAACACATAATAATTGGTATATTAGCATAACTATATGTATATGCATACATATGTATGTATAGATATGAGGACCTTGTCATGAGACGTTCAATTCTCAGATCCCGCGCTGCGAGCTATTGAAGAGTTAGCAAGTTTCACCCACACCAACGCAAATTTGGAGGAAAAGTCCGAGCAATGGAAGAGAGGCTGTCCGAGCAGAGGACATGAGGACGCAAAATTATATATCTCATCACGAAAGGCAAGGCAGCTTCTAAAGGGCCTACCTGGAGATTGTTTTGATTTGATTATTTTGCAAAGCAAGTGTTGGACTGTTGCGGCGCAATCAACGAATATCAACAAGATCAATAATTACACCCTGGAAAATGCCATCAACATGGTTTCGACTTGGGTTCCTTCGGATTTCAGGCACTTTGCGACGAATGCACTTCAGGGTGCATCATGACACGACAAGGTAAGAGCCTGCCATTTCACCTGGGAAAGGAATCGCCTCACCACTTTCGAACAACTCATTACTTCTTCCAAATCTCGCACATATTTCCGTTTGTTTGTGCAGCACGCCGCGCGACTGGTGCAAACCATAAACAACGACCTCGTTCGTTCTTGACGCTATTATTGGATTTGGAGGTTGATGATATAAATTAAAATACGATATATGGGTTTTTTCGAGAAATAGAAAGAACCAAATATATTATTTATCGTTAAATAATAGATTAATTTAGCATTTATATAAAAAATAGATGAATAAATATATATTTAATTTAACATAAAATATTATATATGGAATTGATACGACGACGACGAATTTAATTTTTCAAAAATTATGATTTCGAAGACGTTTTGATGCAGGATTTTCGCTTTAGATATATTTTTATTTTAGTAGATTATATATATATAAATAGTTATTATGAAATTTAATTGATGAATGATATATATAATTATTATTTATACATATATTATATAATATAGAAATAATATATTTTAAATTGATAGATTTTTAGGTTTGGATATAAAATTTTATGATTCTATAATTTTGGAATTATATTGAGGTTTTATTATTTATCTCTATAATAAACTACAATATTTTTTCGATAATGTTTTATCGTGGTTATAATGGATATTAGATGGTCGGTTTGTAGATAATGATGTTAATTAAAATTTGGATATTGCTAATAATTAATAATGCCCGATATTATGATTGTTATTTCCTTTGCCCTTAATTTTCTTGATTAATTCGCGTTGGAGATTGTCGATTTGTCGCATCGTCGCGCGCGTACTTTACGTCATTAATTTATTGGGTATAAATTGAATTTAATAATAAATATTCTTTAAATATTCGACCACTTTAGATTCTATAACGAACAATCGATCTAATTGCCGAATAATAAAAAATATAGAATAAAATATAATTATCGGAAAATATATAATCGAATTTAACATTATTTAAATTAATATAAGTCGGAAATACAAAATATTTATTAATTTATTAAATATTTAATTATATTTAAATTATTATATTAAATTTGAACATTAATATTTATATCGAAATATTAAATTTGGAAAGTCGTTTTGTTTTGTATGCATAAGATATATATATCTATCAATTAATATATATTATATTTATAGATTGATAATAAATATTTATAAGAAATTAAGAATTAATAATCTATAAATTTTGTAATTTTGGCGAATTTAAAAATATATTCTATTATATTTGTATTAATGATTAAATTTATAATATATATTATTTAATATGGAATAATTGTTATTTCTATAATAATATTCGGATTTTTATTATTATCAAAAAATGAATTTATAAAGCAATAATTTGTATTATAGATTAAATATATTCAATATTGTATATCTATCAATAAAATTTATATAAACAATATATTAAAATATATTTCTAGTATAAATATATTCTATTTTTTTAATATTATTAATTTATCCAATTTCAATTCAATAATTTATTTAATTATATTATTAATTCATTTAGCATTCAGCGAACGTGTAGCTCGCCCGTGTTGGGCCGCGGGAGACGCACCTAAGTAAACTCCTGGCTGCTTCTGGAACAGCTGAGGCCTCCATCTGCGAAAAGGAGTGGTGCAATCAAAAATGCCTGGCACTACAATTATGGAAGGTTTTTAGCTGGCAAGTCGATCCGCGATGGCTGCCAGTGAGTCGGTTATTTTCAATGGCAGAGGGCGGCTCCAGATCTTGCCACGATATATGATTGGTACAAAATGTATCCGTCCGTGGCATGATATGAGGAAAATCAAAATCATCCTTGACAATCAATTGGATTCCGGAATGGAAAAATACGGCACGACAATGGCCCCCCGTCAAACATTCTCCAAGGTGAATGATCCCAATAACCACATTGTATGACTCCCAAACAACGGTCAGGCCTCTCGAAGAAACAAAAATCGGCAGGGTGACATGAATTCGAGGCCATATCATTGCCCATGGATTTTTGCAGCCTAAGACAAGATACCTCTCGATTAAAATGCAGACGTGTGGACTGGTCATGCCAAGTTTCAATCAAGATTTGGAGGGGAATGATGTTCTATCATGCAATAAATTTTGAAGTACGATCAATGCGAGCAGAATATTACGATTTTAAGTGTTCGAAGCAAGACACGATTCCCATCCGTATAGAGCCTGCAAGGTCAAACAGGCGAACAAAGGGATGATCCATGCATCCCATACTTCACTAGTGAAACCAACTGTCATGGCCAGTGTCATAGTGTCCAAAGCTAAGCCTGAACGACACTATTCGAATGCAGGGAGGTGGATCGAAATCATTATATCATTTCCTCAATTTTCGTGAGATCGCCACGGCAAGTGGCAAGCGCTAGAGGCCGGTTGGCCGGATCCGAACTAGGACCAACTGAATAATCCCGTTTGCCACCAGCCTCTGGATATGGCCGTGCAGCTCGTTGGCCTCATCGGAACGCAATGAAATCTCGAATTTGTATGTCATCAGAAAAATTTGACGACCTAGATCAGAATGATTTAGATCAGAGCAGGGTCGCATTAAATTTTATATTTGTTTATATTTTGCATTTGTTCCCATATTTTTATTAATTTTCAACATTTTTAGTTATATTTTCACATGTTAAATCATTGTTTCTTATTTTCTATTTTGTTGTTTTTTAATATTACTATTTTTTTGATAAGACACCTCAAATACAACATGGTGAATCAAATTGTATTTCTTGCGGAGAAGTTATCCTAACAACTGAACACAATTGACTGCAGCAGTCATATCATGCTCCAATTTGCATGTGAAGTTATAATTTGCATCTTTTTGCATATTTTATCATGTTTCGAGATTTTTTGATTTTTTTCAATATTTTTTGAGATTTTTTGAGTTGTTAAAATGATTTTTCCTGTTATCCCCTCGAGATATTTTAATATTTTTCTAGATTTTTTGAATTGATTGTTGCTATTTAAATCTCTTATCGAGATTTTAAAATTTTTTTGAAAGTCTTCCATTCCAAGACCTCTCCGGTGAAGGTCATTGAATTTTCTTGGTGAGTATGGCTGTCGTGGCATCCTGCGGCAGATTGTCCTGCTTCAAAGCGGCAAAACGGTGCACGAGCTGCGAATTGGCGTTCAGAGTCTAAATCCTTTGCAAGATGGTACAGAAATCCTGCGAGCAAATCGAAATCTGTTTGGTAGGGCGAAGGGTCTGAACTTTGGCGTCCCACGCAAGGTATTGCCAACGATGATCCTCTGTAAATATCTCCTTGGAAATCAATATCCTTACCAATTCGTCATCTTTTCGATCGAGATTAGGCTTGCCAACCCATGAAATCAACTCCTGAATAAAGGTCTAAAACAATATCTGACGTAGGGATTGCGTGACTTCCCCAGCCAATTTCTGCATATTCCACAGCTTGGATTTCTCGAGAAGCAATGGCATCAAATTTCCCCGTCCACACTAACCAAATATCAGGAACGAACGATCCATATTCATAGCATTCAATTGACCATATCATCATGAAGTTTATCCTTACGGATGAGGAAAGCGCTAACACCTTCCTGCGGCTTGCGGCTTAACCTTCGGTTGTAGCCGCCGATCTTAAAACCCGCGTCAGGGAGGGAGTTATTTATTGAGAGGATTCTCTTCGAGGTACTTGACGAGCTTTACTACGTCCTTTTCTAATTAAAATTCCTCTGGATGCAACCTATACATAAATTAAACAACTACTACATGGTTGGATTAAAGGGCCTTCTGAACGATCCGAGCTGCTAGGAGAAGTCTTTCGTTGGCTTTCGAAGAATGGAGGGTCCACTTACATGCATTCCATTATAAAATGCCCAAATGAGATGTATCGGTCATCCCAACAACGAACAAAATTAGACCCATCGGGTCCCTTTTCCACCATCAACCAAGATTCCAATCAAAATCCTAATCGAATCTATGCTACGCGATACCAATCTCGTTGATCAAAAGTAATCACAACAAATCAATATGAAATTCCTTATAAACGTGTAGCTTCGGTTCGAAAATATCCACTAGTAAAATATTTTATTCCCATATTCAATCAAATATATATATATTTCATATATAATTTCAATATATCCACCTGCTTAAATACTACAACATATAAATATATAATTTCCAAACCAAACTAAGAATCTAATGCATCCGAAAACCATATTAATAATTAATTTTATTTTATTATATTTATATATATATAATAAATATAATATTACAATATTATCATTAAATTAATATTCCAATTTAATTATATATATATACAATATATTCATTAAATAAAAATATTTCTAATCCATACAATCTATAAATATAATCTATAAAAATTAAATTCAAATAATTCAAATATATCTAAATATTATTTAATTCGTATATATATATAAATTATATATAAATCTATATATATAATATATTAGTTATATTGATTCATTTTGATATATATAATTTTGATATATTTATATATTTATGATTTGGGGGTTGGCCGATTGTAAAGCATTGTGTTTAACCGAAGAGATCAAATTCCATCTCCTGGAAAGGATGTGTAGGATTGCTCTTGGCATTCAATCTATATATTCAATGATCATTTCAATTCTTTGCAGGGTTTCTTTTTTGAAAAAACACGATATAAGATGATATAAGTATCATTGTGACCTGACCTCTGGTGCACTCCTCTTCTTCCTCCTCTTCCACGACCTTCTTCTCCTGTCAGGCACTCCCAAGCAGATTCTACCCACAAAAGGAGGCTTCCAACGCCCCGAATGGCCTTCAAGCACAGTTGTCAAATTATTGAGATACTTGCTTTGAGAAGAAGCATCGATAAAAAGCCCTTTTGGGTTACAAAATATTTCAATTCAAACCTAAATGGAGAAACCATTACAAAACCTGACCCGGGATACGCTCCTCTTTGGCACCCCCATCACCGCCGGCTGCTGCGCCGCCTGCACAAAGCACCGGTCTGGTGTTGATCCCAAAGAAGCTGGAAGCATGAGTCGGTGTGTTTTCTATCAGAAACATTGGGAGTGAACCTGTAAGTGCCTTCCATGCCGTCTCCAATCGAGGAGACCGCTGGCTCCTATCTCTGGGTAGATCACTCACCCGCTACACCTGTGCAAGGGTTCTACCCACTGCCCCGGTCTCCCACATCATTTACTGTCCTTGAAGTTGTGTCCGAGATACATAAACCAATTGACCTCTGGCATAATCATCCGCCATTCCTCTGGCCTATATCCACCATTTCCATGTTTATGTAAGTTTCATGCATTTCTATGTACAGTGTGTTATACCGTACATATGTCATATGTATTTATAGTAATAATTAGTTATATGCATGTACTCATAATAAAACACATATTTTGCTCCAGACGTGACAACTTCTACTTTTCCTATAGAACGTTCGAACTAAGTGCACACAAAATTCCTAGTCCACTGGAGACAAGACCAAAATTAGAGTACAAAAAGTGTGAACACGCTACGGGAATACGACACAACACGACAGAATTATTTCCTTGTGACCAGTTGTTGCAGAAGGGAATCCTGCATAGTGAGATATTTGGCCTTGCAGGTTTCAGCAGGTTTCACACGCTTGATTGGCAACTGGAGCTGGAGCTCGATCAATCATGCATGATCGAGAACGCCTGGAAGAAGCTTCCCCTCGACATCAACCCGCGCTTGAACCATGGGTGGCTGTCCGTGAGTTGAACACCTTTAGCCTCCAGTTGACTTCAATTGGACAAATTGGTTGGGGCTAGGCCCCTTGCATCTTTTGAGCAGTAGTGGTGTTGGAAAAGGGTCTTGTTCGAGGTGGCCTTCCACACATGTCTCAAAGTAATTGCATGTTGAAAGCACAAGGAACAAGAAGCTACTAGGGGCTCCTGGCATCGCTACTAGGAGCAAGGATCTTGTCAGTGTCGCTCCCTGAGACGATCAACGGCCCGAACACACGGCTTTTGGTTGTGTTTGAGGGAACTTCGTCAAACATTTGGTCCAGCCCTGCATCGACTTATATTAGACACGCCCAAAAGGAAGAATGCGACTCCAGACCTCCGGTTGGGGTACCTCCAATTCTTCAGGGACTTCAACGTCCTAATCAGGCCTCCTCCGCCACCGCTTGCGGCACCACCGCCGCCGCCACCACCACCACCGCCGCCGCAAGCGGCGAACTTGGTGAAGCCGGTCTTAATCATCTCTTCCACCTCAGACGAAAGAAGGACTGCCACAGGCAGTTACAAATAGGCAGTTGCAGCAGTTTGGGTATCCCTCAAATATCGAACAGCACATGAGGTATGCTGCCTATGTTGATCTATGTTATATCATTTAAGGCCTACGCTGCAGTTTGTGCCTTAGCTTACGTGAGCACAGCATCTTGTGTGTGTGCATTTCGTGGTTCAGCTTGCGCAAGAAGCTTACTCACGCAAGCTTACTTGGCTTCCACAACACTGATATGACAAGTTCATTGCCAAAAAATGAGCAAGGAGGGGGGGTTAAGCGAGGCTCACATGGATCTAAGGGGAAAAACTGATGGACATCCAGGAATTTCATGGATTTCATGGGAATCACAAACTCGAAGACTCACAGGGCCCGGCGGAATTCACAACTCTCTTTTTCGTTTTTGTGATCCCTACCTTCTTGCCATCCATCTTCTCACACACCGTGGTGATCATCTCCTCCTCGTAGCTAATGCCACCAGCCTGTTGAACTCATTCGCTTCACAGTTCCACGGCCGGAGGCCAAACTCAACTACGAGTACCACATACTGCCACATACTAGCGATGGCCTCCAACCTACCAGCGATGGCCTCCACCCTCATACCACTGCCAAGTCCTTTTCATACCAAGCTTGGTCCGCCCACCGGCTGACTTGACGGGTTTCCCCACCTCCAGAATGGTCTTGATGTCCGCGGCGCTGGGGCTCTCCTACAAAGGAGGGCAGTCCCAACCGGGCGAAACCAAAGAATCTGAACTGCGATGCGAAAAAGTCAAAGGTTTCACTTGTCGGTGTTGAAGCAATTGTTCATTTAAGTGCCCAGATCCCTCTTTATGCAAGTATATACATGCGTCACTTTGAACATCTTTAGCTTTCGAAAAAGGCCGCAACAAGCTCCTCACGTCTAGACCAAGCAAGCGACGAGCGAAACTGCTGCTTTTTCACACACTGTGTGACCCTAGCGGTTCTGTGACCTGTCCCCCATCACCATCTGAAAATCTCCATCACTTCCATGCCTGACCGATCGGGCAAAGGGACAAACATGATTGCTATGAGTGTATGTGTACTGTATGTGTATATATATAGTCAAACGCAAAACCTACGCTCAAGTGCTTGCACAACCACAAATTGGTTGAATCCAGTTGAATCTGTACACCTAGTAGGGCAAACAATCAGAACATATCAGAACGTGTCTCACTCCTATCACACCAAACAGAAAAAATGAACAAGAACAAGAACGAGAACAACATTAAAATAAACAAAAAAAACAAGACCTTGTCGAAATCGCCTCCAACACTCTCGTCTGGAGCACTACATAATATGATGTAAAACATCCGGCCACATTCTGTACATGTGGCCACAGGATGTTACATCCTCAACACTGGGTGGTGCTGTCCTCATAAAGAGTAACTACTCATGACTCATGATGTGTGGACTTGTCCGGCAACCATGGCGTCAAACATGGGAAAGAAACGAAGCCTTCAGGGCCTGGCCTGCTTTGAAAGGATTGTCAGGTCGAATTGCGAAGGGCCGCTTGGCCAAAGCGGTGAAGAAGCCTTCCCGGGGCACTTCTGTATTGGCTTTCGCAAGATTTCCCGAAGGCATTCCCGAGCGCATGGGGAAGCGAAGGTTGTTGGTGAAGTCAAGCCAGTCCTCAAGGCTGTGACACTGTGACTCTCCACCCTCCCCCTTCCGTGCATATCTACAATTGAACCAGCATGAAGTGATACCCTGCCAGTGCCTCCCACTCTGTCCAAGTGGCTGCCTTGCGCATTGCATCCACCAAAGGATCTGAAGCCTCTGTATACTTGTGGTGGTTCATGATGATGTCCTCGATCTGCTTCCTGAAGTTCTATCACACCAAAAACAGCACCAGGCAATGATTTCAATGTGTATATATATATATATGTACGTATACGTAGATATATATATATATATATAACTATATATATATATTCCAATTCTCTGCTCACCTGAAAAAGGTGATATCATGGTCGCAAGAACCACCCAAAGGAGCAGAGGATGCCACTGGGCGTTCAGCAATTGTCTCGGGTGGAAGCAACTCTAAAGATTGTTCTTCTGTGCATTCCAATTCTGCATGCTCCAAGTGGCCTTTTGTGTAATCACAGGAACTTCTGCGCAACTATCACTCATGTAGGCAAGTGGGAAGACTTGCTACTGGGACATACCATCTTCGGACATTCCCGGTCAAGTATCAACTCAGGCTCTGAGAAGGTTCCGCTTAAGTCTTTCCGCGCCCTCGCTGGCCAGTGATCAGCTTGGTTCAAAAGTGACAAGAAATCAGGCATCGTGTCTCCAAAAACCAAAAAACACAAGAACTTCTTCACCAGAATCAAACCTAAGTTAGGACATATCTGCAAAGCACACTCTTGACTCGTGCTGCGCCTCTCAGCGCTGGGGCCTAAATAGCTAGCCTTCAAGTCCTCAGTGGATGAAAGGTCTGACATCCAAAAAGATCAGTTCCAAGGAACGAACATCCACATCGGTGGAACGCTACTAGTAACAAGTGCCACGCTACTAGTAACAAGTGCCTTACTAGTAGTAACAAGTGCCTTACTAGTAGTAACAAGAATAATTTAATTTCAATTCTAAAAAGATCAGTTCCAAGGAACGAACATCCAGATCCTAGTCCAAAATTGAAAACGCACAGCTTGGTGGAACCATGTGGAACCTTTCCAGCATAGATCGACCCTGCATTGCCTCATCCTACATGAAAGTTGCAGTTCATGCAGGTTGCAAACATTTAAAGCTCAAACAGCTCCGAGTAGCTACTTGCTCCTAGTAGTACGGCCAGGAGCCCCTAGTAGCGTCCTTGCTCCTAGTAGCGATGCCAGGAGCCCCTAGTAGCGAACATTGTTACTAGTAGCAATGCACCTGTAGCTACTAGGGTGAAGCCCCCCCGGGGTTCCCATCGTGCTTCCCCATCAAGGCTTTGAGGTCGGGATACAACAGCAATGGATCTTTTGACTTCAGCGACAAACAGGTGCAGGGATATATAGTCTTGCAAATGCAGGATTAGCAATCTTGGACTCTTCAAATAGCTGCTAACAATTTTAGACATTCAAACACAAGCAAACTTGGACCAACATCATATCTGATCAAGATGTTGCTGACTTCTTTCGTCCAAGTAACGCTCCAAAGGCCCAGGTCATGGTAGGCCAGCGCGGCCTCGAGGACTTTCTTTGGGCCTCACAAACGAGTAAGGTAGTGATACCAATGTGGGGCTCAATGCCATGGCAACGCAATACACGAAGCCCCCCAAGCAAGCTCCGTAAGACACTTCGCGAGCAAAATCTCATGTGACAAGCAAGTCTCCGGTTGGAGACATATCAGTTGGCACACTGATTAAAAAAATGCACACGACACCTGATTGCCATACTACATCTATCGAATCTATTCATTGACCTTTCTTTCTACACAAGTATTAATATGTACGTGCAATTGTATATTGCAAAGATCTTGTACACATAGGTTTATTTGGGCATGCGGCATGCCTCTTTACATTTAACCTGCATAATTGTCTCATCATTTGATTTGCATGGTGACCAGGAAAAAACCACAAGGAACGGAGGCAAGCAACACTTATCATAAAAATTCTACACCTATGGTAGTCAAGGACATGCTGTCATCTTTTAGCCATGGGCCATGGGCAGAATCTTGGAGCATAAAGCTACTGGTTTCAAATCATCCATATATTTCGACTGTCCAACAACGGCTCTTCCGAGCGGCGAGCGTCAATCTCGTCATTATATCCATGCTTGGGTTCCAGACATGAGACATTCAAACTTGTGGCCCAGAGGGGGGTGGCGAAAGCTAGGCAAATAAACAACGCTGGGGCTCTTTAGGCAGCAAAAGCCTGGCCGGGAATCGCAACATGCCATGGCCAAGGGAAAAGGAGACTGCCAACAGCGCCCCCCCAATATGATCCCAACACAGCCAACACATGGCAACACACAACCACCCCAGCAGCAACAGCCACAACAACAATAACTGTAACCCGCAGCGGCAGCGGCAGCAAGCAGAAGCTTCCAAGCAGCAGCAGCAGCAGCAGCAGCAGTGGCTAGCAAGCAGCAGCACCAGCTACCAAGCAGCAGCAGCAGCAGGAGCAGCTACCAAGCAGCAGCAGCAGCAACAACAGCTACCAAGCAACAGCAGCAGCAGCTACCAAGCAGCAGCAGCAGCAGCAGCAGCAGCAGCAGCTACCAAGCAACAGCAGCATCAGCTACCAAGCAGCAGCAGCAGCAGCAGTAGCAGCAGCAGCTACCAAGCAGCAGCAGCAGCAGCAGCAGCAGCACCCAAGCAGCAACAGCAGCCAAGCAGCAGCAGCAGCAGGAGCAGCTACCAAGCAGCAGCAGCATCAACAGCAGCTACCAAGCAGCAGCAGCAGCTACCAAGCAGCATCACCAGCTACCAAGCAGTAGCAGCAGCAGCAGCAGCAGCAGGGAAAGAGTGAGCTTTCCTTAGAGTCTTTCGTGCCCCAACATTTGGTCTCGAACAATAGCACATATAGGTGCTGCCTGAGTAATTGTAGAAGGGCGACGTGGAAAGACAGATATATCTGATATATCTGCTTTTTCACGAATAAATGCTGACGATGCAGCCAGCAGCGGTGTGCATGATTGACATCTAGGGGTTGTATGCGAACATGTGTCAGCGACCGAAGACTCCGTCGCAACGCTTGTGCATGCTCCCTGTCGCTCGAACATGGAACGCGGACTACCATGAGTGAAGCAAACAGCCCGTTCAAACATCTTACTGGGTTCTGTCATTCATGTGTGAAGTAAGTATCATCTTTTGATCTGCATGGATAGCGGATAGTGCATTCTGATTTGTACTCTTGGGTTGTGGGGTGGGTACATGCCTGTACAAGCTTCTTAAGGATACAATGAAATTAGCATCGTTTCACGAGTCAGAGGGAATGCAACTCGATTCTAACGAATTGGCTTTCTTCAGCGCCAACAGCAGCCAACAACCCCAAACAGCAACAGCAGCAAAACGGAGCAGACAACAGCAGGCAGCCATGCAAGCAGCAAGCAGCAGCAACCAACCAGCAAGCAGCCAAGAGCATCCAGCATGCAAGCAGCAAGCAGCAGCAACCAGCGACCAAGCAGCACCAGCAGGTACCGAGGAGGAGAGGAGAAGGGTGGAGTTGAACCCCGCGAGGGGGGGGGGTCTAGTCCTGATATATCAGGTAATAGTCCTCAGCTTCCACCCTCCTTGCTAAAGCAAGACAGACTCCAGCTAGCTACAGCTAGCTTTCGCGATTTCGTGATAATTGATGTAAATGTCGAGCAAGCTCATGTGAAGTTCCTTCTTTCCACCAATGCCTCTCCATTGCCGAGTTTCAACCATGTTACATATACATCAACTGAACCCGCATAGTTTCAGAATTTCAAAGCGCAGCATTGAAACTCAACACCCTGATTCAGCCCCTTGGCTGCTTTGGCCTGCGTCGGGCTCTTTGCCGAGGAAGTAACTCGTGAAGGACATCACCCGCAAGCAGTGATTCCTTCATGTTTGATGTTATCTGACCAAACACTACAGTAGAGGTAGACCATACCAACGTGCACATGCATAGAGGAAACATGAGGAGACACTGAAGTAAAGCTGCTGCGAAATGCTGCTGTCGTCAAGATGCGATGTCAGCTTGTAAAACCCAGGTGCTCTGAAAATGTTCTTAATTATTCAATTCATCTCTTCCGATCTGTGGACCAGTCCTATAGGCCAAATAGTCCTCTCCCAGGTCTTTCTCGTACCTTAGTGCAAACAACATGCGAGTGAAGTGACGAGCTTTACCACTGATGGTACAGTATATAGTACATATTTATATAATGGGTGCATGCAAAGAGGCTCGAAGCGAAACATGTTGGTTTCATCTCTATTTCTCACTTGGAAGGACCAGCTACAGTACCAGCATGGGTTCGTGCACCTGGAAAATTGGGCCACCACCTGGTCTGAGTCGTAGCAAATCTGAACTCTCGACCTTTCAAGGTACCTTCTCGACTCCCAATGTCCCCATTCAGTGAAGTAACAGCTTCAAGCGCTCCATCAAGAAAGGTGCGTCATCTGGCTGCAACACCTCCGGGAATACCAAACAGGAGCATATACTGGGAATACATAGCTTCTTGTTACTAGTAGCTACTTGCTCCTAGTAGTACGGCCAGGAGCCCCTAGTAGCGTCCTTGCTCCTAGTAGCGATGCCAGGAGCCCCTCGTAGCTTCTTGTTGGGAATCGTGGGAATACTATCACTTGCAAAGGGCTGCAGAGTCTCAGGTGTTCAAAACTCAACGGGTGTGTCAGACTAGGTTGACGCTCGAGCCACGAATCTCTGCTTTGCCATGGCTGCCATGGCTCCTTCCCTTGGGAATCGTTTCCACTGGGAATCGTTTCACCTGTAGTAACAAGAAGCTTTTTAGTAGGTCTTTGAACCTTTTTAGTATGTCTTCGAAGCTTCTTAATAAAGCTTTCTAGTAACTAGAAGCTTCCATAGCTGTCATGGCTCCTTTATTCCTGCAAGCCGGACTTACACATCCCACAGCGGGGAAGATTTCGGGAAATGCCTTGAAGCCGGCGCTGGGTTCGCCAGGCAAAAAGAACGGCTGAAGGTAGTAGCCTGAGCGGTGCAGCTTTTGAGATATTGGCACGGACATAGATAGTAACTCATTTCCGCTCTTTCTCTATGATGGACCCTGCAAGATATTGCGTTCCACTTTTGAGAGAGCGAGAAGTCGAGTCGACTGTTTGATCTTGCTTGGGATCTTCCCCAAGTCGACGGGGTTGTGAGGGGATGCCTAGACTCTAGACAACACCCAATTGGATCCAACTGGTGTGTCCATGTGTCCACACTCTGACACTTGTATTCAGTGACTCAATTTCCACGATGGGAAGGATGGCGATGGAATCGCAAGGTGGCAAAGTCCGCTGAAAAGTATTGTTGAACACTGTTGGCAGTTGCACTCGAAAACGATCTGACACTCAAAGTCGGCTGCAAAGCGGCGCAAAAC